ACATTGGACAGAACAAGGGCCTGACAGGACTATATTCCATTTCACTTTAGGTCCAGTCGACGCCACGACCCGATGTAGCCAATAAAGCGGCGCCAAAAGTGCATCGTCACGGCGCTCGTTGTCTTCGTCTATTTCCAATCACCCACTAAACCAATCACGCACAAAAACAAAACAGGAACCGTGCGGCGCATTTACTCTGCGTGATTGGTTTAGTCGGTCATTGTAAATGGACAAAGACAACGAGCGCCGTGACGATGCACCTTTGGCGCCGCTTCATTGGCTACATCGGATCGTGGCGTCGACTGCGTTCGGACTCGAAATGAAACAGAATGTAGTTATAAATCAAATGTTTCAGCTTTATGCATTAATATTTCAATTTTAATTATCTCCAGGTATGATATGTAATGATGCGTACGAGGAAATATATATCAACATGTTTTGCACGGCCTTCCGTATTGACGGCGTTTGCGATTATTTGTTTTAGGCGATCATTTGCCAGACTTCATCGGTACTGAAAAGGACAAGGTATCCTATCTGGACAAGCTACTGTCCGTGTGCAATAAAGAACACCCCGTTTACAAGATTAACAAAGTAAGTATTGTCAGATAACAAAAAATAAACAGTATTTCTAATGTCTTATTTTGTGCCTCGGTTGTCATCGTCCAGGCAAATATAACCTTCGAAAAATGCACTTTCGCCTGTCTACGCGAGGATATGACCGCATCAAGTAAAGAAGAACGAATTCCAACAGGCCTGCTTTGCAACAGCGACGGAGGGGTACGTATAAGTGACTCATTTTTGAGAAAATAATAGGCATCAAGAAAGTTGGTTTGTTGCGCATAAAAACAAATTTAAATATGATCGAGTCAAGATTTTGGTATTTGCAAGGTTTTGTGTTTAGTTACTCCGCCATGGGATCTTCAGAATTGTAGAGATATCTACTCTAAACTTCGGGGTGCCTCACTGCTTCCTTCAGAATATTGTAGTTATTTTATCAAAGATTAGGAATAGTTGTTTGACGAAAAAGGCACTAAAGTTTAAAAAGAAATATTCCTTTGGTTTAAAACTACTTACAGCGGCGGACGTCAGGTTACGAACGAAAAGTATGAATTAGTTATTTCTTGATACCAAGATTTACTATTGAACTTTTAAATCATTCGCCTTTGCCTGCACATTCTAATGAGCGATTAATTGTTTCTCATCAAAATAGGTAATTGCTGCTAGAGCTCAGAAATTCTCATAAGAGCTATTTTATGTCAATTTTAACCCATGAACATCCTCAGATTTATTTACTGATTCATTGCTTGATTTACACATACTGCAAACTGCCATTTGACTGCCGAGGCACGAGGAGGTACAGGCAACTGAAATAACACATCAACAAATTCAAAAATACAAAAATCAAAATAGGCAACAATAACTCACCTGCTAAAATGAATTTAAAAAGTAACACTAAAGCGCTGTAAAAGATATTGAATGGACCAAGCACTCGTAATTTTACAGTGACGACTATTTCAATCGTTAATGCTACGCGTGAAAATTATTTTTCTTAAAACACTCGTACTGCAGTGGGATACGAAGTGTTTGCATTTTTGTGACGTGTTTGACTTGACTTTTAAATTTCATAACTTTGTTAAACGAGAGGTGGAATGAGCCCTGAGCAGTGATATATTAAATCTTTAATCGATTAGTCCTGCGACCACTTCATAGGAGGTCAATTTTAGATTGTTTATAACTTTTTCTGTTGGAACTCATACTTCCATACTCGTTGACAAAGTGCAAAGCCATCTTCTGCACTCTCTCAAGTTGTTTAATATTCGCCTTTGTAGATGGATCCCCACACAACGTCCGCATATTCTAAAAACAATTGAACTAATTTATTACTATAAATTCAAAGCTTGGTTGAGGGTGTGCAGTGCTTTAGCTGCCTTTGCAGTGACCGGAGCTTTGCTAGCGCTTCTTCAACGATCGAGGATGTATGACTGTTCTAGCTGAGATTTGGAGTGATTGTGACACCTAACTACTTGAACTCATGAACAGTTTGTAGTCGGATGTCATCTATACAGTTTTTATATACCAGGGGGATGTTTTGCCGGTTATGCTCCTTTTCACGCATTTTGAAGTGTTCAACAGCATTTGCCAGTCCTTATACCACTGAAAACTAGTGTACAGAAACTATAGAAAGAAAGTAATTTGATCAGTAAGAGACGTTCGCTCTCCGCAACGCACACCATCATCTGCGAAAATACGGCAATGAATTTCCTCGCCAGCTTTCACGTAATTAATAAAAAAAAGGAGTAGTCCGAGTACTAACACCTGGGGAACACCATATGTCACCTGCAGAATTGGGGAGAAAGCACCACCCACTTCGACAAAATGGTGATGATTGTTAAAATAGGAATCTAGCCACCGCATGAGTTGCTAGTTTCCCAGTATTTATTTCACTTTGATGAGCAGTGTCTGGTGCGACACGCGGTCGAACGCTTTTGCAAAATCTAAGAGGACTATGTACGTCTGCCCCCTTTATCAACAACCTTCGCAAATTTATCTAATGTCTGAAGACGTTGAGTAAAGGCCCGTTCACACTCTTGCGACCGAGTACGACCGAGTACGACCGAGAGAGACTAGACCGGTTTTTAAGCCTCTTGCGATCTCTTAGGACCAGCTCCGCTGCATCGCATCGTCGCAAAAGGCTTAAAAACCGGTCTGGTCTTTCTCGGTCGTACTCGGTCGCAAGAGTGTGAACGGCGCTTTACCGTAAACAAAGAACGTCGAAAATCATGTCGACTTTCTGACAAAAAAATAATTATCTACAAAATGGGACATAACATGAATAAAGAAATTGTTCCAGAACCTTGTTGCTTAAACAAAGTAAAAATATCGGCATATATTGTATTATTGCCTATACATCGTAAATGGGAATGACTAGCCACTTTCCACTGTTTGGGAACCACATCCTTTTCAAGCGACTTGCTATATATGAGAAGGAGATATTTGGAACACCCCTCTGCACATCATTTAAGATATGTATTAGAACTATTTTATGAACCGCAAGGCTTTTTAGTGCGAAAGCATTAACTGTGTCATCGAACGAAGCCGGCGTTGTCTGTAACCGTCTGTAGCAGCGAAACGGCAGTTAAATTCCCATCTGCCAAAAGCACAGCAACGCCGATGCTTCGTCGCGCAAGCCGTGGAACCGGCGGGGTTCGCCGTGCCTGCGCAGTGAGGGAGCCTGATGTCACCGCCGCATTAATTGTAAAATACTGTTGTGTGTGTTTCAGGGTGTGGGGGGAGGGGGGGATTGGCACGTCGAAATTCGGAGTTTATCGGATAAATCCAAATTAACCAAACTTTTACTGGCGGGTTTTTTTCGGAGTTTTTCGGATTTATCCAAAAACACGAAACACTACATATAATCAAAAACAATGAATGGTAACAAACAATTCCACATTATTATTTCACTTAGGATCTACAAGAATCAACAAAGTAGAAGGGAGTATCCCTTCATGCCCGGTCCACTTAGCGTAGTCCACTCAGTAATACCGGTTTGCCAACAAATTAATTTTGTAAGTAATCGAGGACATGCAGGCGATCTGGTGAACTTCCAACATCTTGAACATCCTAGACTTAGGAACAAAAAACGTACACTTGTGTGTGTTTTGTCCTCTTTATTGGTCCCTGAGTCTCGGGTGTTCAAGATGTTGAAACTAAATCATTGGCCACAGCAGCGTCTACAGTACATCGTCAATTCGTTGATAGGGCGGCTCGGCAGTGTTGGTTTTTGAACAGTCACACACAAGGCGTGATTAAGCTGTAGGACACTAGATATAGAGGCATAGTAGTGTGTTTCGTACCAAAAGGAACACAAAGTGGAATAATTACCTGGCTTCGTTTAGCATGCTTTACAGTTAGGCCTTGCTAAAGTCAGCTCTGTGCCACAATTTCTCCCTCGAAAAACTTTCCCTGGGACTGCAATTCTGACAAATTACGGTCCCACAATTCCTTGCTAAAACGTTTCCTCTCTTGGCTATTCTGACAAGTGCAAAAAAGGGACAGCGCTAGAAACGAATAAGGCTGGCGTTGTTTTCCTTATTCTAGCTATATAAGAATTCACAATGGCGTCCATATTCTCGCTTTGTCTGCTCTCTTCGGAATTTTCGGGCTTGTAGAGATATGATAATAAAACTTCACAGTGTTACTGAATTATTAGTTTTCTTCGTGCAATGTTAGTTGTTTGTTTGTTTTTTTCGGGGTGGGCGAGGGGGACAATAATCACTGAACTAAAATCGCAATACAAATTATATGTAACAGTTAAACAGACACGTAACGCTAATCTCGACAGACAGTACATGAAAATACCTTAGCAAAACCGCTGCCACAAGTACATCTTGCTTTAAGTACGAGATGTTACAAACTAAATAAGAACAACTACTGATACAATTAGATGCGGTCGCCACTGTTATTTATTCGCAATTGCCCCAATTGCTTGCAAGCAGTTAACCCTAGAGAAACAATTAACTCCGCACGAAATTCTCTGTCTAAAACATTGAAACATTTACTCAGGAGGCACTGGTTGATATAAAATTCGTAAAAGGGTATTTTGAACTAACGTGATGCCCAACCGTTTCAGAAATGCCCCGACGAAGGACCCTGCCCAAAACTCCCATTGCCAAGCAGCTAAAGAAAGGAGAATGCCGAGTTCTCTCTCTACAGGGCTACTAAATGAAATCATGTTCCAAATAAAAACTGTTTTAAAACGCTGAAAGAACAAAGTTTAACAATGAATTAACACACTTTTGGAAACGCTCACTCCCCGAGATGAATATTTTTAAACATTTCAGTTCCACTTCTTTTGATGGTTGGGACATACATGACACACCTTACCAAAACGATGGATGCATAATTTAGGTTGTAGTACTAGCGCCACGCCTCCGGATTCAAAAACACTGTGAAATTCCTAGGCCAATATTTTGCCTCAAAGACATCGAGGTCGCTTGAAGCTAAAACAAATTACTCATCAATAACATTTTCAAATCTTTGGTTTCGTTGCTCTGCAACGAAAGTGTTTCACATTTGGAACATTCTTATATGAGGTAATCCGAGGCTGACACAAAACCTCCAAGTTTCATTGCCGATCTTGTGGAGGGGAGATTGTGAAGTTTTATAGTACACTCTGAGAAAAGATGAAGGAAAAAGGTCGCAATGGCGCAGGTTCCTCTCTTCTACTGACGTGCCCCCAAGCGGACACGAGAAGAAGGGAGGAACGAGACGTTTTTCTGCTCCTCCAGGCAAACGGGAAAAAGCTTCCTTCCTCCAGACTTTTCTTCTTTCGGTTTCGTTTTTCGAGCACGTCGCACAGGTTGTTTAATAAAAGTAGTTAAGTTGGGGGGATCGGTGGCCGAGTGGTCTAGCGCACACCAGCTCGGAGCACGTGGAGCGAAAGCTCGCGCTGCAGAACCCCAGGGGTCCTGGGTTCGAGCCCCGCCCTTGCCCGTTTCGATCTGGATGAGCATCGTTCCGGCGTGCGGTCGTGTATCAGTACTGCGTGGTGCACGTTAAAGACCCCAGGCTAGCGGCTGTACCGCACTGGCTAAATTTCTCATCTACAGCTGGGAGACTCGTTGCCCCTGTGAGGCAGACCAAGTTCTAGGCTGTATAAACACACACACAACCCAATTATTATTATTAGTAGTTAAGTTGACAGAGCTTCAGCGGTAGCTAAGGCTGTCTGTAATTCCGTGTCCCAGTGCAAACGTGCAGAGCGTTGCGGTTGCATTGACGCTTTACCACTGATTTTATCAAACGAGCAAACGAAGCCGCTAGAAACAGCGAAGTTCCGGAGCAATGCCAGCAGCGCTACGTACACTGGGCTAAGATGGCCATTTCTGGATTGCGGAATCAAGGGGAGGGGGGAGGAGAAGGGGGGGGAGAGTTGATAATAAGGGAGGGCGCGGCCTCGCTCCTCTCCTCCTCGCTTCGGTTCACCAGCTAGACGGGACGAAGCGAGGAGGAGAGGGAATGAGAGTCGTGACGTGACTCGGCTCGTCGGGCTCGTCGGTTGTGTTCAATCACACATTTCTTTTCCGAAAATACGGCCATCCGTTAGAGATTCTGGATTCTGCAGAGTCCCACCTATCGCACCAGTCCTGCTTTGTGAGCTCGAAATTTCGGTTTAGTATCCCTTCAAGTTCTATGTTGTAGTGCCCATTTTATGAATACTACATATTACAACGTTATCTTCGATTACTGAGCGTTGTCAATATGTGCAATGTTCAAGTAAAAGTCTTTTTTTTTAAGAGGATTAAAGTATGATAAACTAATTACCGTCCAAAGCACGAACTGTCAAACTATTATTTCTACAACTTACTTTAAAACACAATTAGGCTTTAAACAAATTAAAGATTGTTTAGCCTATGCGTGGACGGCACTCTAAAGGATGTCATATACAAAAAACTATCTTAGTTGCACTATCAAGTCATATTCTAATTTTGGATGCAAATTAATTTTAAAAATGCTTTCAAAGCTCGAAAACAATCTTGCTAAATCAAATGCCGAAATTAGTTTCACAGTGTTGAGGAAGCACTTCCATCTAAAAAATTCTTGCGCGCGAAGGCGCCTCTCACACTCCCTCTCTAGCCTCTATACACCTCCTCAGTCAAAAGCAACTTACCTGCTTTGGACTGAGAATGTTAATTCTTTATTGAATTCATTGCATATTTCCACGGGCCGCGCTTTTCTAATGCCAATCACCACACGCTCGAAAAGTGTCGCTCATCTAAACTAGAAGGATAATAAACCCTGGACAAGCAAATCTCCAAACACAGCTAAGTGTTCGTAGAATTATTGTCTTTCCTGCCTCGCTTGCACTGTTCTGTTAACTGTATTATCATCAAAATAGAAGGGCGTAATTTCCAGAATCACCAAATCTTGCTTCAAGTAGATTTCATCAACGAGATGTGACAACAAATAAAACTTGATTTGATTTGATTTGATTTGATGGTTCTTACATTTATCTATTTTTGTAAGAAATTGAAGTTTATGCAAACAGTATTAGTTAGATTTAAAGTGCATGCCTCCAGGTGTCGTACCTTGCTGTTTTAATGTTTTCTATTCGAAGTTTTGTACGATTTGTTTCCCAATGCTTACATATTTCTTGAGAACAGACTATTCATCGATCGTGTTTTATGAGTGCAAAAGGCCCATTTTCAGAAACTCACCCTGCAACATTTTCGGACGCCATTTTTTTCGGTACGAAGCCTGTGATTGTATCCGACTACTCGCTGAACGCTGACGCGGAACTCGTGCTCGATACGAGCTAGACCGAGTTCACACCAGAGTGTCGATCCGGAACCGAACCGTTATATTCAGCCAAACCAGAACTGAACCGAACCGAAGTCGTCACCGCCATCTTGAAATTAAACCGGAACTGAACCGGAAAGAAATACAACAGTAACCGGTTCAAAACGGTTCACAATATTTTTTGTACATACAAAACATTCGTATTTGAGAATAAAAAATTGGCTGTTGTATTATTATATATCGATCAAAACGTCGTATACAAAATTGCAATGCATGAGATATTGGTTGTTTTCGTGACGCTTTTGTATTGGCACTATCATCAATCATGTGTCACGTAGTCACGTGACGTCGCGGTGTCAAACCATGCAGTCAAGTAATGTCACGTCACGTAGCTCCGTGATGTCACGTGACTACGTCACGTGACTCACTGAGTTAAGCGGATTTAAATCGAGAGCTTTACTAAATTTATTAGCGTTGCTGACACTGTCATATCACGTCCCGACTTCGGACCGCGAGTCACGTGACACCGTAACATACTCGACTGTCATCAGCCCGAGTCGAATGCTCAGGCTCATGACAATAAGCATCGACAAAAATCAGTGTAATCGCTTGTGTTCAATCTGAGAATAGCCAAACTCTAACGGTGCCTGAGGCTCAGCCCATGATAGGCTTCGCCAGCCCCAGCGCTTGCCTATAATGAACACGGACGGCATATAATTAGGGTCAGACCACGAGGTTGCTTGTTCTAATTGCGAGTTGCAAAGGGGAGAGCTGTTTCTTTCCTGTATTCTTTCTGCGTCTGCAAATGCGCGGGAAGCAAATCTAATCAGTATCAACGTCAAGAACCTTATTATTTTTCTCTTTCTGCATATTATGTGTGCTGCGTTCAGACCTATCATGTGAGCACATAGACCTTTTTCGCACGAGCCGGTATTTCACACTGCCAAATAACGAACAAGAAGGCACGTTTCCGCAGACCGGCTCAACAGCTGGCATATTTTCCAGTATCATCCTCCCGCGTCGGTCTCAAGCGGTATGTGAACTTCATACAGTCGAATTTATTGATGATAATAAAATATATTTAATTACTGCCTGAAGATTTGACAACATAAATAAAGGAACGACCTCCGAGTAAATGTACCCCCAGTTTATCTGAAACTTGCTCTGATTTTTTGGTTGGCTTTTATCATCGATAGGCGCGTGTATAAGTGCGTTGGGAAAGCCGTAAGCAAATTTCTAATTTTAAAGCTTATTAAAATAACTATATCTGTTCCTGGCATATAGGGAGTGCCTGGAGTCACTAGGCTTGATATAAAATTGACCGTAAACATTGGCGCCTGCATGTAAGAATCTAAATTTTTCGAGAAATCTGTATTTCACAGATCGGTTTCATCCTGTAAATTTACAAAGCGCAGCCCCCTTTCTGTAAAACATAAGGCCAAAGAACTTGCCTGGGTCAACGGCGGACGGCGACGCACACGACCGAATCGGGTAGCGGGGTGCGTTTGGCGCACGTATCAATAGATGGCGTCGGAGCAGCGTCTGAAGGTGCAGCCGACCTGCGAAAGAAAGCAGACGACACGCAGACAAGATCTGCCGGCAGCAAACACCGTCGTTAAGCAACCGTGTTTTTTGTTTGTTTTTACTTCAAGTTTTGCTTTTATTGTCTGCTTTTAGTTTTAAACCAAAGGTACCTAAGGTAAAAGATTCGGTTCAGTTTAATAAACCACCGTCGTCGTGAGCAGTCTCGAAAAAGAGGTAGCGCCATCTATCAATGCGTGCGCCAAACGCGTCCCGCCACTCGACTCGGTCGTTTGCGTCGCCATTCGCCGTTGACCATCGCAAGTGTTTTGGCCCTATTTTTAAGAAAAAGAAAGCTATACTTCGTAATTTAAAAGAATAAAACTGACCTGTGAAATACACCTTTGACACAAAGCTTAGAATGCTAGGTGCAGGTGTCGATTTTTACGACCCATTTTAGATCAAGCCTTGTTATTTCAGTCACCTTATACATTCTGACTGAAATAGTCAGGCTCGATCTAAAATGGGCCGAAATATCCAGCGCCTTGCCGAAGCAATCTAAACTTTTCTTCAAAGGTTTTGTTTCACACGTCGGTTTTATCTTGTAGAATTACAAAGCGTAGCTCCCTTTCTGTAAGAATTAGGGTCGAAAAACTTGCCAGGGTCACCGAGGACGGTGACGTAGACGACGGGGAATCGAATGGCGGGGAGTGGTTTTACGCACGTGTTGATAGATGGCGTCGGGAGCTGCGTCTGAAGGTGCATCCGACTAGCGAAAGAAAGCAGACGACACGCAAACAAAATCCGTTGGCAGCAAAAGCGCCGCCGTAATGCAACCTTGTTTTTAAATATATTTTTATTTAAGGTTTTGCTTTTATTGTCCCCATTCATTTTTCAACCGACTGTAAATTACAAAAAGATTATATTAATTTCGGTACATTATGGTGCTCGCGAGCAGTCTCGATAATGAGGTATACAACTTTTGCTAAATTACCCAAGGACCAGGGAACATGCTGCAAGTGTAGTTACACGTGAAGCACGTGCTGGCCTCAGAAGTAGTAAATTTTCTAATGCAAATGCCTAAAACAAGTGGTATCTGGCACGCGCGTTCGTCAACGCTTTTTTTTTTTGTAATTTACTTTGAATCTTTTGTGCGGGGAAGGCGAGCGCGTGTGACGCGTGTACATACATTCCCAGCATTCTCCTTGATGCTTGGCTAATTTAGCAATAC